AGTGTTGCACACTATGTTGGGAGGATTGCAGTAATATAAGATATACGATAATTATAAATGTAAATCGATTTATCCTCCGATGTTGAGTACCCACCCTTACACACTCACAAGACCATGGGCGTACTTAGGGGTGTCAATATTTGACACAACACGAAAACCCGACCCGGACCCGACCCGAAAAATCTGGGTTGGACCCGACCCGGTTTCAAAACGGGTCGGGTTCGAGGTCCAGAAGTCGACCCGTTTGAAAAACGGGTTGTGTTCGGGTTGACCCGACGGGTTGATACCCCCCTATACCCATTGGGTATGGGTGGGTACATGGGTGGGTGTGGGTATGGGTACCCAATGCAGGGCTCTGGTAGATATCCAAACCTATGTTCAACTAACTCTATATGTTAAATTCAAATTTATTTGGTGAATGATGTATTGCTGTACTTTACGGGTCTACTTGTGAGCTGGGACTTATAAATGAGGATGATGAAAGAAAAGAGAAATAAAGGGGAGCATAATATGGATCTCGACAAAATTTTTATTATACAAGGCCAAAAGTACAATAATAAAATGAGTGAGGTCTCTATCCGTCAAAGCTCAAGATAAAAAGAAAAATTAGCTAAATATCTCTATATGAATCTCTCTCTATTTGGATGTGTTTTTTTCGTGTTCTTTCTTTATGTCCTCCTCTAGTCGTCATGATTTCTTTTGTTTCCCCTCCCCCAATTCATAGGGCTTGAAGAGTTACAACATAATATGTACATAGTACATGAGTTTTGCTATCAATCTTTGTTATAGTTCAACCAACTATGCCAAGTAATGTGGCGATCATGTGAGAGATCGAATCGTCGTTGATTTATGGAGACCGGTGTGAGGTCACCCTGCTAGAGCGAGAGGGGGAAAATAAGGACTTGATGTAAATATTTGAGCTTGATGATGAATTGATTAAGAAGGGTGTCTTATGGATGAGATGTGTGCCTTTAACCTAGTTTTTGATAGGTCTCGCATAGAAGACTTGATTTTGGCAGAGATGAACAAAAGCTTATCCGCCAGCTTTGGGGTGGGGGAGCAAGGCCCTACATAGGGTGATGTTTGGGTACATGTTTTACACGGACGGGCTTCGCCCACCCATGGTGACTTTTGGAATGTCATACCCACCTATACTCACTCACTTTCTATGCTTTTTGAATGCAGTATGCCACTGATTGATGGATTTGAGACTTATTTTCCTTTGCACTTATTGCAAAGTTTCACGACGCATATCAAAATTTATCGTAGTCATAGCGTGGTTAAGTGTTGCACACTATGTAGTAAGGATTGCAGAAATATAAGATATACGATGATTAGAAATGTAAATTAATTTATCCCCCTATGTTGAGTATCCACCCATACACACCCACAAGATCATTGGCGTACCCATCCCACAAGACCAATCATCGTTAGGCTTGTCTGTATACTAATAGTTACATCATGATTCATGCTTAATTAAGTGAAATGTCTTATGACTTAACAATATTGAACTTCTAGATGTAAACATTTAATTCAATTGATAAATCATAATTAATAGTTTGTTATATGATAAGCCTCTTTATTAAATGAAATAAGGCTGATAGGTGAATAAAATACTAACCAAATAATTACACAACACATCACAAATACTACCAGATGTCATTACACACTTCGAGACTTATGTGAATAATGTTATTATACTCTCCAAATAAGAATATGGTTTAAATTTGATAATATCAACTACCCTTAACAACCAACAAGGTCAAATTCAAACTAGTTATTTCTATTAGCCTCATTACCTTATTTTACTCTATGAGTGAAACTTAGGCTTCGTTTGGGACAGCTTTCTTACTGGTTCTTAAAGTTGCTTTCTAGTAAAAAATTTTAACTTTTTAACTAGAAAGCCGTTTTTAGAAGCAGAAAGAAAGCCCCAAACGAAGCCTTAAGCTTCTTTTGGGACGACTTTTTTGCTGCTTTTTAAAGTAGTTTTTTAATTAAAAAAATTTAATTTTTATACTAGAAAGTTATTTCAAGAATTATTAAAAAAAGTCATACCTAAACCCTAAATCTAAATATTTAAATATTTGATAAATGATATATAAAAATTAATCATTCCATAAATAAACTTACATGTTAGAGATATAATTATTTAAAAATATAAATTTACAAATATACCAAAAATTGCTATCACTACGCCCATGCAATGGACAGGCTATACTTCCGCTATAGGTAATTTGAAGGCAGAAGAGCATCGATTTAGAACTGAATCCAAAAACTAGCACAGCATAAAACAACAGCTCCCAACGAACCACTAGATGATGGCAAAGAGAACCAAGCAAATCAGAACACCAAGGCTTCTTTTGGGACAATTTTATACCACTATTTTTTCTCATCATTTAAGAGATTTTTTTTTATCAAAAAGTAGCTTTATAAAACAATAAGAAAGCAATCCAAAATAAAGCCTAAGACTTCTTTTAACATCACTTTTCTCAGTGCTTTCTGAAACAGTTTTTTAGTACAAAATTTAAATTTAAGAAAATTTTTAAATTTTTTGTACTTGAAAGTAATTCAGAAAGCAGCAAGAAAACTATCCCATATGATGCTTCATGCTTCATTTTGAACAAATTTTAGTCACTATTTTTAGCTACTTTCATGAATTCGTATGCTAAAAAAATTGTTATAAAAATCAATAAGAAAACTAATCGAAAACAAAATCTGATTGTGAGGATTAGGGGTGTCAATTCAAGTCAACGGGTCGGGTTCGGGTCGAACCCGGAACTGATCCGGCACTGTTCGGGTCAACCCGAACCCGACCCGATTCGGGTCAACCCGACCCGACACGAATGACCCGGAATTGACCCAAATTGCAAGTTTTATGGTCAAAAATTTGGTCAATCTTCTTTTTTTGGGGCTAAATAGGGTCAAACTCAGATTTTCGGGTCAAATATGAGTTTTCGGGTCAATTTCGTGTTTCCGTGTCAACCCGAACCCGACCTGAATTTTAAAACGGGTTAATTTCTTCAACCCGAACCCGACCCGTTTCGGGTTTGGGTTGACCCGAACCCGGATTTTTCCGGATCGTGTTTCGTGTCGTGTCAAAAATTGACACCCGCAGACATGATTTGGAGAAAACTCCAATCTATTCACCATTCGATCATGCATCCATTTTATTTCCATCAAGATATTGAAAGTTAGAGTGCCCGCAAATATTTTTTTTTTTAATAATGAGACATTGTGATAATACGAACTATACTAAGGAGTTTGTCCTAATCAAGAATGATTGGGATCTTATTTATGGAGTCCAAGCACCTGATTTGGAGAGAACTCTTTACCATTCAAGAAGAGTTTCTCCTTCTGAAGATTTGATGGAGATCATATATTCATATTTATGGAGTTCAACCAACTGATAACAACACTAACGTAACAAGAAAGGAGTTCATTTTCATTTACTATAAAATATATATTTAATTTTGCATCATATATGGGTTGAAAGGGGAAATAGTATTTTCATAAATAAATTGAATTATTATTTTTTACTATATTTAACAAATATTTTTTTATATTTATTCATTCGATACTTTAAAATTTCAAATAGATCAAAATATATTCATGACTTATTCGCATAAAATTATCTTGATCGGGCACGAATCTCGAGGCAAAAACCTACCCGAAAACTTCAAAAATTAAATTCAAGAGCATTTGAACTCTGATTTTAGCGAGCTTCTAGTCAAACTGAGCGTCTCAGAAATACGAACCCAACGACACCAAATTCGACCCAATCCGAGCCCAAATGGGTCCGAATCATGGACCCGAAGCGCTGTTGGAAGGTTTAAACTGCAATTTGAGTTATCAAACGGTCTCCGATTTTAACGAGCTTATACTCGAATCGAGTGGCTTGACGAGACGAATCCAAGGAGAACAAGACCGTTAAATTCCGACATCACTAAGGCCTTCAAAAGTCCAACAAACTATGCACAATCGTAGGATTCAAATATCGGCTGTCCATTCGACCACTCCCTATTCGCCTCTGATCTCACAACTATTTACGAGCTATGCCACTCCATAAAAATTTTAAATAGAGCCCTCATTCTTCACAAAGGAGACTCAAGTGAAGAGAGAGAAGAAGAAGATAAGAAGAGGAGAATGGGGACAAGGAGAATCCTCTCCTCCTCAACCACCGCCGGAGCTCTTCCTACGGCCTGAATACGCCAGAACTCTGCCAGATTTTTGGGAAACGACGGGATTTTGCAGAACTTTGTAAACTTGCTTGAAGAAACGAATTGTAATCTGATTGCCCCGACTTGTGGGACGAATCAGCCATTTGTAATTTGCAAAACACTAGTGGAATTTTTCAACTGGGCAAGGCCCTGTGGTTTTTTCCCTTTTTGGGTTTTCCACGTAAAAATTCTTGTGTTCTTATTCTCTTTTCTATTTGTATGCTGAATACTCGTACAACGCTTAGACGCGAATTTATAAACTCTACCGCCGCATATATTCTAGCACGCAACAATTCATAACAATAGATTTTATTTAATTAATCTAAAAATTTATTTATTTAAATATATAGAAATAAATAATAAAACTAAGGTATTAAATATGCAATCTTCTTGGACAGATTTAAAACATCAAAAACATATTTCAATAAAAACTTTAAAAATTACCCGATTTATATGAAAATTAATTTCATTCAAAATATTATTTATAACATAAACCCAACATCTTTAAAGTCGAGCATAATTTTCTTCTTCAAATATTTTTCAAGAAATTAAAAAAAATTATTAAAAAAAAAAAACTGTTCACCACATTCAATTTTGAAAGATAGTCAACTGCAAAATTCCAATGCAAAGCGAAGGAGCTTTCTCCCTAATTAAGATTTCTTCAGCTTATTACCGAATGGAACAATTTAAATATAATTTAAATCTCATTAATTTTTTTAAATACCCAAAAATGAAAAACTGCAAGCCATAAATAACTGTTAAAAAGATGATGATCCAATAAAATTGGAGAAAAATATTTATCTGGCTTTTCGTATTCTTTTTCATGGCTAAAAACTCTACGCATTTACAAGTAAATTTCACTTTCTTGTGTTGTTGGCATATTCTCAGAATGGCATAATGTGCGTGGTCTTGGTGTCGTAGCCGGCGATACAGCTCTTGGAGTTCACCCGGAAATCCTTCAGCAGATCTCCCGACATATGCCTCACCGCCGGCGAGCAATCGCTTTGCATCAATAGCAAAATTTTTGTCACGCCGCCGTTAGCGGCCATGACCGCCTCCACCGCCCGCTGATCCCGAAACAGATGGCAAACGCTCCACAGCACCATCACTGCGGCCTCCGTCCCCTTTCTCCCCACCTTCATCATCCTCCCTAGAATCGCGCCCATGAAATCCTCTGCCGATTCGCATATCGCCGATCTTCCCTCCGGTAGCCCTGAAGCAACCTCCAGAAGCTTCAACGCCTTCTCTGCAGCAGTCGCTGGGGCCATCGAGACATCGGCTGTTAAAATCTTCTTCGCTGCCGCGACGACGCCTTTCTTCACCATAAGCGCCCTCGCGCGCCGGACGCCAGAGATCGCTACCAGGCACGAGAGCCCGGCCTCGATCGCGGATCTATCCATCTTCTCCTTCCCGATCCCTTCGTCCGTGGATCCAATCAGCCGGATCAGCTCCGGGATCAGATCCGGCTTCTCCGAGATTGGAATCCTAGAGTCCGGAAACGATGTTAAGATGGAATCCAATACCCGAGCAGCATCGACTCGTGAATCGGGGTTTTTTCCCTCTTTTAGCAGGGAAAGCAGACTGGACACGGATGAATCAAGATTGGAGACGAGGGAAGAAACCACGAGCTTCTTATTGCTCTCCTCGATGAATTCAGCTGTGAGGATTAGGGCTAAAACCCGTACACCAGCTTCCAGGATTTCGATCTTGGAGGCATTTTCGTTAACCACGGAGGTAAGCGTGGTCGCACAGCTGCCAGATGCGATAAGGCGGTTCTTATCAAAATCCTCATTGTCTGCGTCGAGGAGAAAATCGGCAAGCCGGCGAAGGCAAGGCGCGGAGTTTGGAGATGAGCTGAGGTCTCGGAGAAGATCGGCGGCGGGGTGGCTGGGAACAAGATCGGCCGTGTCGGCGGCGGCGGAAGCCGACCAAAAGTTAATCAGGCGCTGGAGAGTCAGGTTGGGGACGAGATCGGTAGAGGGAAGCGGTTGCATGGTGGCGGGGCAGGTGTTATTGCCGGAATCAAGCCATCGCCGTATCGAGGACCGGTCGTAGGTGATACCGGTGCAGAGGCTCACCGGCGACTTCATCACGTCGAGCGAGATTGGGCATCTGAAAAAGCTCGGAACCTTAACCCCAAGGTTCTGCAGCTGAACTATCTCCTCTTTCCTGCCCATCTTCTTCTTCTTCTTCTTCTTGCTCCTCTCGGCGTCGACAGAGTTATTTCTTATTCGTTCATGCGAATAACTTGCATTGGCTTTGGAAATGGGAATGGGAAAGGGAAAGGGAGTTATTGAAGAGGAGGGGAGTCAAAGGGGAACGGGCGAGTTGGGGTGACGTGAGACGAAGGGTGGGTTCTTTATGTTTATCACACCGAAAAAATGGCCCACTAAATAGGACCGAGACTCCTTTATCAACGTGACGGACAGTGGGCGGTTTGGTGGGTCTTCTGAGACGTATAGAGGGTGCGGAACGGGTTTGGCCGTCGCTTTCTCTTTATTGTAAAGAGAAAATCAGCCAATATTTCTGATATTAAATGAGGCTTTGGTCAAAGTTTGATGGTGCGGCAAGGGATCATCACAGTATTTTTATTTTTCTTTGCGGTGTTGGGGAGACCCAAACAGCTACGATGCTCTGACTTGCCCGCGTAGTGCTGGTGGGATTATTTATTTATTTTTTGGAGAAAAATTTGAGGCTTAGTCTAATTCATTAATAAAAAATACAAAAATTCATTAATAAAAAATACAAAAACACGTGGAAAAAAATATAATGGACAAAAGAGAGAGATTTATTGTTATTGAGAGCTAGAATATATACGATGATTGAGTTAGAATTTTTACGTTTCAATGTTGTACGGACATCCAACTCATAAATAAAAGAAAAAGAAAACACCAGAATTTTTACGTAGAAATTCTGGAAAAGTAAAAAATCATGGGTCACGTCCAATTGAAATGATTCTATTAGTGTTTGAATAAAATATAAGAGACAGAATCGCCCCTTAAATTGAGGATGATCAGATTACGATGATCAACCATTAGATTAAGCCTTGTTTGGAATGATTTTTTATTGCTTTTTAAAATAACTAACAAAAATTATAGTATTTTAAGAAGCAGTAAGAAAATTATCCAAAAAAAACTTTAATTTAATTGAATTATAAAAAAAAATGAAAATATATGTGTCCAAATTATAAGGGACAAAAGAGAGATTTATTGTTACATGAGGAGCCATAAAAAATGAGTTAGAGCTCAATAAGATATGACAAAAACAACACTCGAAATGATAGAGTATATGAAAATTGGCCAGACTATAACAACATCAAAGCAACAAGAAGTCAAAGAAAATCGATTGAAGTAGTCACTAAGTCATGACTCGGATATGGTCAACATAAGGATTTCAATGTCTGATAGCAGAGAAATCCCCTGATTGTTAAGAAGGCCTTCTGGTGAGATATAAAAAATGAAAAATGTACCATTAATGTTTTTAAATGTGTGATACACATCAACTAAATCTTAGTGGTCCTCAACATTCATTGATTTGGCGAAATCAAGTTTAGGAGATATGGGTACCAATCATACATATATCTTATGGTTGGCCAATTTCATTTTGGACAATTTCTATATTAATGTAGTCGACCCATCTTTGTATAGTCAAGCGGACATAGCGTTCATGATATCTTAGTTATACGAGAGGAAGAAAAGCTAGACATTAGGTCGCAAGCAGATGGAATGCGCCACTTTGGAAGATTGGATTATATGAAGAAATACGAAAAGTGAAAACAAATTAACAATGGATATTCGTTTAAGGATTTTCAATGAATGATCAGGATGATATATGAGGAGATTTACAAACCACACTTATAATAGTAATATAGATATGCATTATGCAAGAACATACTTCATCCCTTAACAATAGCATCATTCATCATGATCATAGTAACAAATGATAAGCACTTAAATTGCAAAAAAGATCTTACGGAAGAGGTCGAGTAGGTTTTGGCATACCATCAAATTTGATAGTTTTCATTACGTATTGCAAAATCATTGCATAATATGAATTAGTGCAATCCCTCATATAAGGGTAGGAGAAAATATTAGATAATTACAGATAAAAAAGTTATGATGTAGTATTTAAATAATCTGATTTTGATGGAGCATTGAAATTCTTTTTTTAACATAGTAGATAATAATAATGGTTGATTTTATAGCTCAATAGTTATTGCTTTCACCATTAACAATTTTTTTCTTTTATCTTTACTAATATTGATTTTAAACAACATGGGTGATATGTATTAATTGTAAGTAGCATAAGCATGATCTATCAATGATCTTCATGCCTTGATGGAAATAAATTTCAATAATCATCATCACAATCTCAATTTGGAGAAAGATCCACTATATTCATTATGTACTAAAAAAAATATGGTGAAAGAGTGACAATTTAATGCATTAATGTTGCATAAAGATCCGCACGTATATCAATAAAAGAAGTTTAAGTGGGACGCTTGAGATTTTTACTTGAAAAATGTAGAAATAAAAAAGGCATTTAAATACTTCACTATATAAGTAAGATTACAAAGTCTTCCTTTCTCTCAAATATTACTCGGAGAAGAAGGATTTATAAAGTATGAAACACTAATTTGTCCTCTTATGGGTGTAACGGTTGTTAGATTGCCTGAAACAATAATGCAGTGTAAAAGGAATGTAGTATAAAATAAGTATTTTGGACTTATTTGAATTATTATAAAAGGAATGCATGAAATTATCTTCTTTTGTTTTGTTTGAAGTAAATGAATGTAATGTAAAGTGCAATAAAGGAGTGGTTGATGGCCGACATTGGCGGCAGTGTGACCGACAACCGGTGACGGTGGTGGATGGTGGTCAGCGTTTGGTGGCGGTAATTGCAATGAATTTTCAATGTATTTGAAACTCATCTGAATCAGAAGAATTACAATTACACGAAAAATGAATTAGGTGGTGTGTTCCAAATACACTAAAATTTAACATTGCGTTTATTTTACTTCAAATCAATATCAATATATTTAGAATCCTTACGTTTGGAATACTTTACACAAACTTTATCAGCAACCAAACAACTCCATAGTAGAAAATGTTTAAAAAATAATTAAAGGTGATCTAAAGATAGGCATCAATCAATAGATATTAGTATCACTGATGGATGGTGGTTAGTGGAGAAGATTGTTAGACGATCATGATTGAGCTATGATTGTCGGGTTATAGCATTCAGTTGACGGTGGTTGGGCGATGTGGTCAAATGATGATAGTTAAGTAATGGTGATCGCTATTAGTTATCAAATAAAACATAGTTTTAAATTAAATTTCTTCAAATCTCTAAGCCCTCTCCAATATTTGGTTCACGCCTTTCTAATGTAAGGAATGAGAGTCTATCTATAAATTATTTGGAATGGTATATTGAGATTTTTAATTAAAAAATCTAAATACTCCTTCTGATAGCTAGCATGTAGCATTCTTTAGGCATTTAAATGCCCAATGATATCAAATTTTAGTGCCCTTCTTCTAGTTGGATTCCTCTCACATAGTTGCTAATTTTAATTAAAAACATATAAGATTCAGAGTTAGATCATCTAATTCCTCAAATTTTATTATGAAGTTTATAACTATATTTCAACTGCTTCATTTGGGCTCATTTGAATTTAGATCATGACATTTAGTATTCTTGGACTCATATAATCGAAATATTCACCTCAATTATTACTTTACTAAAATCTAAATTCATGTGATCTTGAATTAAATTTTAAAAGTTTTCTATTCAATTATGGCACTTAGACTCATATTTGGTCATATAGATTTTGTAAGTAATATATCAAAACGAAGCCCTTATATATATGGCTGCAAGCAAACCAAACGTTCGACGAGCTACTCGTTGTTTGTTCGATTAAAAATCGTTTGTGATCGTTTAATTAACTAAACAAACAAACTTGAACAATATTTTAAAAACTCGATTCTTAAATAAACAAACTTGAACACTAATGTGTTCGGCTCATTTATGTTCGCAAACAACATCATTTGAAGTTGGTGAACAAGCTCGACATAGACAATTGCTTTTATTATAAATGTGCTTGTTCATAGATATGTTCATGAACGTGTTTGTTTGATAGTTAAAAAAAATCGTTAAACATGTTCGCGAACATGCTCGATGTAATCGTTTGTTTGGAAGCTCAATAAAACTCGTTTGTTAAGTTAATGAACATATAAAAGTAGAGCTCATTTATAGCTCGTTCACGCTTGTTTGTTTAAAGCTCGATAAGCACTAAACGAACGAACATAAACTGAACATAAACCGAACATGAACATTCATTAATTTAAATGAACCAAACATGAACACAAACAATAAAACTCGAACAAACATGAACCAAACTTGAACAACTGATATTAAATGAACTCAAACATGAACACTCACATACAAGGTTCGACTCGATTCGTTTGCAGCCCTACTTATATAGCCTTATAGGTCATATTTTATTACCTTTTATGTAAGATTTTAATATATTAATAAATACTGGGAGTTGCTAAAAATAAAAAAATTATTCAAAATTACAATTATAGAATTGAAAAGCGGAAGCCTTTGGAAGCGGCGGAGAAGGGGCTCACAGTCCCTTAGAATGAACGATAATAGAGGGCCGGCGAGAGAGAAAGAGGGTGGCCATGATAATGAACAATGATGGCAGGATATGTGGCTCGCCATGCCCGGAGGACTCTCGCTTAAAGCAGCAAGGTAAGTATGGACCCTTTTGCGAGATTCGTGGAAGAAAGGACTATTTGTCCATCATAACGCTGCATTGGCACATTGCGAGATTAGGGGATTTAGAGCACTATTTTTCTACATTAGCTAACAATCATCATAATGCTGCCGCTTGACTCTTCCATAGTGGACTTCCCTTTTTTCAAATCGTACGAACACCGATTTATGGGTCATCATATTAGGTAGCTATATCTTTTCTTTTTTTATATATATTTTGTAGGACCCTAAATGAATTGCGTTAGACTAGGGTGTCAATTTCGGGTTACAAGTCGGGTTCGGATTGAATCCGAATTGACCCGGCACTATTCGGGTTCGGGTCAACCCGACCCATTTTTGCAAACGGGTCGATTTTCTGGACTCGAATCCGACCAGCTTCGAGTCCGGGTCAATCCGACCTGACCCGAATGATCCTATACCAATAAAAATCTTTTATTTTTTGGGTCTAAATATGGGTCAATCTCCTTTTTTTCGGGTCAAAATCGAGTAAAAAACGGATCAATCTCGGGTTGTTGGGTCAAAAACGGATTTTCGGGTCACAAGCGGGTCGATTTCGGGTCACAAACTGGTCTATTTCGGGTCAACGGGTCAACCCGAACCGATTTTTTAAACGGGTCAAATTGTTTAACCGGAACCCGATCGACCCGTTTTGGGTTCGGGTCAACCCAAACCCGAAATTTTCGGGTCGGGTCGAATATTGACAGCCCTACATTAGACAAATCATTTGAGATTGGGCTCAAAAAAAATTTTTTAATCATTTAATTAAAATAATTTTAAACTATTTTTTAAATATTTAATGTTAAAAAAATGAATAATTAAGTCGTCCGAAGCTCATCAACATGACCAATAAGAAGTTCATTAAGAACTTGATAAATGAGCTATGAAAATTTAATAAATCTTATATAAATATTTTATATTTATTATAACTTAAATA